AGAAGGAAATTGTACAAAAATACGAGGGCTGAAGCAGTGGTGGAGGAAGTGGTTGACGCATCGTCAGTGTGGCTTTGTTTATGCTGGAGTGAACATTAGTCTCCGTGCTCTTCCAAACATTTCACAATAATTCATTGTATTTGGTGCTTGTAGATTGAGTGTGTCTGGAGTGGTTGAGGCAGTGGTTGAGGCAGTGGTAGAGGCAGAGGTAGTGGTAGAGGCAGTGGGTGAGGCAGTGGTAGAGGCAGTGGGTGAGGCAGTGGTAGAGGCAGAGGCAGTGGTAGAGGCAGTGGGTGAGGCAGTGGTAGAGGCAGTGGGTGAGGCAGTGGTAGAGGCAGAGGCAGTGGTAGAGGCAGTGGGTGAGGCAGTGGTAGAGGCAGTGGGTGAGGCAGTGGTAGAGGCAGAGGCAGTGGTAGAGGCAGTGGGTGAGGCAGTGGTAGAGGCAGAGGCAGTGGTAGAGGCAGTGGTAGAGGCAGTGGTAGAGGCAGCGATAAAGGCAGCAATAAAGGCAGTGATAGAGACAGTGGTAGAGGCAGTGATAGAGGCAGTGATAGAGGCAGTGATAGAGGCAGTGATAGAGGCAGTGGGTGAGGCAGTGGGTGAGGCAGTGGTAGAGGCAGTGATAGAGGCAGTGGTAGAGGCAGTGATAGAGGCAGTGGTAGAGGCAGTGGTAGAGGCAGTGATAGAGGCAGTGGGTGAGGCAGTGATAGAGGCAGTGGTAGAGGCAGTGGGTGAGGCAGTGGTTGAGGCAGTGGTAGAGGCAGTGGTAGAGGCAGTGATAGAGGCAGTGATAGAGGCAGTGGTAGAGGCAGTGGGTGAGGCAGTGGTGAGGCAGTGGGTGAGGCAGTGGTTAGAGGCAGTGTGAGGCAGTGGTAGAGGCAGTGATAGAGGCAGTGGTAGAGGCAGTGGTAGAGGCAGTGGTAGAGGCAGTGGTAGAGGCAGTGATAGAGGCAGTGGTGAGGCAGTGGACATGAGGCAGTGGTAGAGGGTGGGGCAGGTGGGTAGGCAGTGGGTGAGGCAGTGGGTAAGGCAGTGGGTGAGGCAGTGGGTAAGGCAGTGGGTGAGGCAGTGGGTAAGGCAGTGGGTGAGGCAGTGGGTAAGGCAGTGGGTGAGGCAGTGGTATTTACTAACATATATGTTATAAATAATAATAGTACATGTTAATATTAATAACATTTATAATAATAATAATAATAAAATAAATGTTATTCATAATGTACTATTATTATTATTTATAACATATATGTTAGTAAATATCACTGCCTCTACCACTGCCTCAACCACTGCCTCTACCACTGCCTCAACCACTGCCTCTACCACTGCCTCATCCACTGCCTCTACCACTGCCTCAACCACTGCCTCTACCACTGCGCTACATGCTCAACCACTGCCTCTATCACTGCCTCTACCACTGCCTCTACCACTGCCTCTACCACTGCCTCTACCACTGCCTCTATCACTGCCTCTACCACTGCCTCTACCACTGCCTCTACACTGCCTCTACACTGCCTCAACCACTGCCTCTACCACTGCCTCTACCACTGCCTCTATCACTGCCTCAACCACTGCCTCTACCACTGCCTCTACCACTGCCTCTATCACTGCCTCAACCACTGCCTCTACCACTGCCTCTACCACTGCCTCTATCACTGCCTCAACCACTGCCTCTACCACTGCCTCTACCACTGCCTCTATCACTGCCTCTACCACTGCCTCTACCACTGCCTCTACCACTGCCTCTACCACTGCCTCTATCACTGCCTCAACCACTGCCTCTACCACTGCCTCTATCACTGCCTCTACCACTGCCTCTACACTGCCTCAACCACTGCCTCTATCACTGCCTCTACCACTGCCTCTACCACTGCCTCTACCACTGCCTCAACCACTGCCTCTATCACTGCCTCTACCACTGCCTCTACCACTGCCTCTACCACTGCCTCAACCACTGCCTCTATCACTGCCTCTACCACTGCCTCTATCACTGCCTCTACCACTGCCTCTACCACTGCCTCTATCACTGCCTCTACCACTGCCTCTATCACTGCCTCTACCACTGCCTCTACCACTGCCTCTACCACTGCCTCTACCACTGCCTCTACCACTGCCTCTACCACTGCCTCTATCACTGCCTCTATCACTGCCTCTATCACTGCCTCTACCACTGCCTCTATCACTGCCTCTACCACTGCCTCTACTACTGCCTCTACCACTGCCTCTATCACTGCCTCTACCACTGCCTCTACCACTGCCTCTTTCACTGCCTCTACCACTGCCTCTACCACTGCCTCTATCACTGCCTCTACCACTGCCTCTATCACTGCCTCTACCACTGCCTCTACCACTGCCTCTACCACTGCCTCTACCACTGCCTCTACCACTGCCTCTATCACTGCCTCTACCACTGCCTCTATCACTGCCTCTACCACTGCCTCTACCACTGCCTCTATCACTGCCTCTACCACTGCCTCTACTACTGCCTCTACCACTGCCTCTACTACTGCCTCTACCACTGCCTCTATCACTGCCTCTATCACTGCCTCTATCACTGCCTCTACCACTGCCTCTATCACTGCCTCTACACTGCCTATCCTGCCTCTACCACTGCCTCTACCACTGACTCTACCACTGCCTCTACCACTGCCTCTACCACTGCCTCTACCACTGCCTCTACCACTGCCCTACCACTGCCTCACCCACTGCCTTACCACTGCCTCTACCACTGCCTCTACCACTGCCTCTACCACTGCCTCTACACACTGCCTCACCACTGCCTCTACCACTGCCTCTACCACTGCCTCTACCACTGCCTCTACACTGCCTCTATCTGCCTCTACCACTGCCTCTACCACTGCCTCTACCACTGCCTCACCCACTGCCTCTATCACTGCCTCTACCACTGCCTCTACCACTGCCTCTACCACTGCCTCACCCACTGCCTCTACCACTGCCTCTATCACTGCCTCTACCACTGCCTCACCCACTGCCTTTACCACTGCCTGTACCACTGCCTCAACTGCTGCTCACCCACTGCCTCTATCACTGCCTCACCCACTGCCTCACCCACTGCCTCACCCACTGCCTCACCCACTGCCTTTACCACTGCCTCTACCACTGCCTCTACCACTGCCTCTACCACTACCTCTACCACTGCCTCAACTGCTGCCTCACCCACTGCCATTACCACTGTCTCTACCACTGCCTCACCCACTGCCTCACCCACTGCCTCACCCACTGCCTCACCCACTGCCTCACCCACTGCCTCACCCACTGCCTCACCCATTGCCTCTACCACTGTGTCTGCCTCTACCACTGCCTCAATCACTGCCTCTACCACTGCCTCTACCACTGCCTCTACCACTGCCTCTACCACTGCCTCACCCACTGCCTCTATCACTGCCTCTACCACTGCCTCACTCACTGCCTCACCCACTGCCTCACCCACTGCATCTATCACTGCCTCTACCACTGCCTCACCCACTGCCTTTACCACTGCCTCACCCACTGCCTCACCCACTGCCTCACCCACTGCCTCTATCACTGCCTCTATCACTGCCTCTATCACTGCCTCTACCACTGCCTCTACCACTGCCTCTACCACTGCCTCACCCACTGCCTCTACCACTGCCTCTGCCTCTACCACTGCCTCAACCACTGCCTCAACCACTCCAGACACACTCAATCTACAAGCACCAAATACAATGAATTATTGTGAAATGTTTGGAAGAGCACGGAGACTAATGTTCACTCCAGCATAAACAAAGCCACACTGACGATGTGTCAACCACTTCCTCCACCACTGCTTCAGCCCTCGTATTTTTGTACAATTTCCTTCTTCAATTCTATCGTATTTATTATTATTATTATTATTATTATTATTATTATAATATTATTGTTATTATTATTAGCAGTAGCAGAAATGTTTGATTCTTTGCTGTGTTCAAGAATAAACACATGATGTCACCTTCCAATACCTGTCCAAATAGCCATTCTAATATGCAGTCATGGATGGGTTTACATTATTTATACTGTAGTTTAATAGCAAATAATGAACCCAATGGAAATAAGTCACTCTGTCTGACTTTTTTGGGTTATCCCAGGTTCTCTACACATATGCTGCTATGTATGATAATTCTATGTAACTGTATTTGTGTATACCTGAATAAACTTACTTACTTACTTACTTAACACTCACACAAAACACTCACCACACAGTGGTGGGAGGGCTGGCTGCCAGTTGTGGGGGGTCAGAGGGAGGGTAGTAAGGACTCGTGACAGTATACTTAAATATGATTTGGCAGTTGGAAATTCGCGAATGTGTGAAGCCCGCGAAAGTTGAAAATGCGAATGTTGAAAGAGACCTGTATAATTTATTAGTATTCATTTTACTTTCATGGATTTAGACCTAGCTCTATTGCATGTACTTAATATACATATTACATGCTGGTTCTGCTTTACAGCGCTGATGTTTACAATATTTCGGTAATACAGCAGTTGTCAGTTATGCCCATTCATCATATATTCAGACTTCCTACAATTAATATATTTACCACTCACTATAAGCTAAGGACTAAAATATTTTAAGATATGTAATGTGAGTACTGTATATGCATTTTATAGACCTAGCTCTTGCTCAATATATGATACCATAAACATGTTATTAGGCTTTTATATACATTTTAAAGTGAAAAAAGGCTATGTTCCACTTTCTGCAGGAGTCAGGAACCAAACCCTCAGTATAAGCAGGACTTACTGTATTTGTACAAACAATCATGACACCTAGTGTTAATGATCCTGTATACCTCTAAAGTATGCATGACCTGGATTGTTGATGAAGATTGGGAATATACCTCCAGTGTTTGAATGATTGTCTATAAATTCAATATGAATTCTTAACTGATGAATAATTTAATTTAATTCAACTCAGTTTCACTATAAAATATCAGTAATATAATTCAATCCTGTTTTAGTGCAAATTCAAACAATATTAATTTCTACAGGATAATGACACGCCAGAGGAGTGTAATGTGTGTTATAGCAATTATGATGAAGAGCTACGACGGCCACGCACTCTGCCGTGTGGCCACACATTCTGCACACAATGTATTGAAGATACAATAAAGAATGTTCGACTAACCTGCCCCAGCTGCCGTGCTGAGCACAGTGCCACAGCTGCTACTCAGTTCCCAATCAATTATGGTATGGAGGCTTTCATTAAGAAATTCATAAGTATGCAGGTCACATCAGTGGAAACAATGTCAGCAAAACCTGGTGAAGATCACACAAGAGGCATCAGTAAGAAGTTACGGTCTATGGTAGAGGAACACAAGAGCAATATCAATAACCTTATAAGTGAGTGTGAGGAAGTATTGTCTCAGCTGGGCATGTACCAGGGGCAGGTGAGGGACTGGAAGACCCAGCACCACCAACTGCAGGACAGACTCTATGATCTGGTGGAGCAGAACAAGACAGCAATAAAGTTCCTGGAACAGGAGAATACCAGTGTGGTAAATATGACAACAGAAGGAGAGGCAGGAAAGAAGCAGCTGCAGACCATGCTGGAGTGCCTCGACACAGTCAACACTGCACAGGAGGTCGACACAGCCTTTGATGAAGCTGATCAGTGCAACTTGGAGGTTGAAGATTGGATCCAGAAGTGTCAGGAACTCTTCCCAGATGTCAACACTGTCTACACCTCAGTGAAGGTACACTGCTGGAGGTCACTACTCTCACTGAACTGAAAGTAGCAATTGTCTTTCATAAATACTATAGATATTTTAACACTTCACCTGTAATATTTTTAAGCTTTTCTTTTTTAAATGTTTACTTTTACGAAGTTACAATAGTTATACATTCCATTTGCTTGTGTTTTAAATACTGATTGGATTTTATTTATTTTGTTATAAACACATCGACCGTTTCCCACTGAGGGAGTGCGACCTGAAAAATGAAGACACACTTTCATCATCATACACTTCATTACTGTCTTGCCATAGGTACACTTACACTACAGTTAAAAAACTGCAACATTAACACCTCTCCTTCAGAGTGCCAGCACTGTACTTCCCACCTCCAGAACTCAAGTCTGGATAACCAGTTTCCTTTAATCCCTTCATAAATGTTACTTAGCTCACACTTCAACAGCATGTAAAGTCATATAAACCATTTGACTCCACTTGCTCCTAGCTAACACGCTAATACACGCTAGAAGTTCAAGCCCTGTGCACACAAAACCTCCTTTAGCCCCGTTTTTCCAAACCTTCTTAGGGCGATCCCTGCCCCGCCTTCCTTCCACTACAGATTTATACACTCTCCAAGTCATTCCATACTCTTTAAATGTCCGAACCATCTCAGCAACCCCTCCTCAGCCCTCTGGATAATACTTTTAGTAACCCCAAACCTCCTAATTTCCAAACTACAGATTCTCTGCATTATATTCACACCACACATTGCCATCAGACATGACATCTCCACTGCCTCCAGCCTTCTTGTTACAACATTCAACACCCATGTCTCATACATATATAAGAGAGTTGGAATAACTGTTCTCTCATACATACCCCTCTGTGCTTCCATAGATAACATTCTTTCTCTCCATAGACTCCTCAGAGCACCAGTCACTGTTTTCCCCCTCATCAGTTCCATGATTCACCTTGTCACCTGTAGGTCACCTGTAGGGTGACTCCCGCCCACAAGGAGCACTGTGCGATGTCACACGTAAGCTGCTAAGTCTAGCAAGGGATCGTCTATATAATACATATGGATGGTACTAGCTGTGATACTCAGATATGCTATACAACGTATACAGGGGATCATCAACCATGCTGACAGCTCGGTCATGTTATGTATGGCATCTCGACATACCATACTTTACAGGCTGGCAGGCAGGTGGCTCTGGGCTGATTCTATACAATAGCAAAGACATACATAACTTAGAACCAATCATAGAAATGGGTATGGGATATACTCAGTTGAATGGATAACATTGGATATTATATTAATGGATGGTGATTTACATAATGCACTACAAATTAAAGGAACCAATCGTAGTATAATAAAAGATAGAATTGATCAATCGATCTGTATTCAAGCACTCTATGGATTCTGAGGAAGAATATGTATTTACAAAGGTGAAAGTAATTAACAGCAAAGGCAGACCTGGTGCACACAGATCATTACTGCTAAATCTCAGAATTCGGAGGGAACGTGAACATACAAAAAAATTTGAAAACTGATCACCTAATAACAAAATGCATGATTGACAACTTCATTCAACTTGAACATTTAATTATACAGGCTATGTACATTTAAACCCAACTCTGCGAGGGTAAGATTTACATATGCAGAACGGTTATCATCTCTGGGAGGATTGAAGCCTTTTGCAATGTCAAATGCATGCCTTGATTGAGGGAGATCTGAATTAGTATCTACAAAAGATACTTGGGGGTTTTTCATTACTTGTGTACACAAGGAATAATGACATTCAGGTTGATCATCTGACTGGATGGTAGAGGGTACAGACTCAGGAGGACTGTCAGCTTCTGTCACATTAGTCTGGGTAGAAATATCATCGCATACTAACTTCATGTGATCTAAATACGATTCTTTATACTGCCCCGTACTAATTTCTCTGACTTTATGCTTATTGCCATTGATATGTTCAACTACTCGATGAGGACCAACAAACTTTTGATCAAGCTTAGGCATTGCGGATGTTTTGTTGAAGTTAATTACTCTCGAACTCACTTTAACCTTAGTCTGCTTAGTACAGCTATTAGTTACTCTTGTAAATTCTGCTGTTGACTTATGAAGCATTTATTGGACTCTTCTGAAAACACTTTGAGCTAGACTGGTACAAGTGGCTATGAAATCATCAGGGTTGTAATTGGGTTTTGGTGCGGAATATAACAACTCATTAGGTAACCGCTTGTCTACACCATACAATACATAATGTGGAATGTCACCTATTGAAGCATTGTAAGCAGAATTTATAGCACACTGAACATCAGGTATGACTTCTTCCCAAGTTTCACTATTTGGGTTGATAGTAGTTCTTAAGACATCAAGAACTTTCTTATTGGTTTGTTCCACCAAATCATTATTTGCAGGATGATGGGGAACAATGGTTGACTTAGAGATCTTGTACAAGGTACACAAATTTTCAAGAATCTTGTTACAGAATTCACTTCCATTATCAGTTACTAGGGATTTAGGGTGGTATGTCTACAGATTATATGCTCTTTGAAAGCTTTAGCTACAGTCTCGATAGTCTTATCTGCATTAGTAACTAACTCACAATATCTGGTGAAATGATCTACCATAACACACAGATGCTTGTTGCCTTGGAGGGAACATTGGAAATTAGTTAACAGATCTATGGTAACTCTTTCTCATGGTTCACTCATGGTGAGATACACCTGGATAGGATTTGGACCAGTGACCATTGGACCATTTATGTTGCATGCAGACACCACATTTCTTAACATACTCGGAAATATAAGTTGCCATACATGGCCAAGAGTATTTCATTCTGGCTTGTTTAACAGAACGATCCATACCAGGTGCACAATGCCTGGTGCATCATAAACTAGCTGTAGAGCTACATTCACTAGTGACTGTGGAATTGCTAATTGGTATACCCTTCTGCTTGGGGTACCCAACTCGGCTGTTTGATACAGTAATTCTTGGCTCATTACAAAGTCACTAATGGGTGCTGGTGGCTTCACAGTCAGAATAAGATCTTCTTGGAGCAGGAATCTTATCACACTAGACCACAAGGGATCTGTTCCTTGTGCATTCTTTACCTCTTCAGCACTAAATGGAGGGTCTGCAGTTACTACACTAACATGTCGCAATAGAGCATCAGCGACTACATTTGATCTGCCAGGCAAGTGTTCAAAGGTTGGTTTTAACTCTTGAATGGTCAAGGACCAACTGGCTGACCTTCCAGTGGGTTGTTTATTCTGGAACAAAGGAATCAGTGCAGCATGATCTGTCAAGACGTAGACAGGGTACTGGTATGTGATGTCTCTGAAGTGCTTCAAAGACCACACTATTGCTAAAGCTTCTTGCTCGGTTACTGTACAATTATGTTCAGCCTTTGTAAAGACTTGGCTAGCAAATGCAACTGTGTTGTACTTGCTATTGGTTTTCTGGGCTAGTATGGCACCTATGCCAATTGAACTAGCATCAGTTGTCAGATAGAAAGGTTTAACAAAATCTGGAAATTTCAAAGTTGGAGGAGATGTTAACTTTTCTTTGACGGTCTGGAATGCTCTTTCTTGACGGAAGGTCCAAACAAAAGGAGCATCCTTCTTAAGCAACTCAATTAGAGGAGCTGCTAAGGAAGAAAAATTAGCAATGAAGGATCTATAAAAACCTGCTAAGCCCACAAAGGATCTTACGGCATCAGCAGTTTTTGGAGATGGAAAATTAGACACAGCCATGACTTGGGTCAGTCGTAATCCCTCTAGGAGTGACTACGTGACCCAGATCTGAAAAATTGGCATTTCGACAGTTTGATCATCAAGCTTACTCAGCATCATGTCCAGTCTTTCCAAATGTTTTTCCACGTCCTCGGACATGATGATTATGTCATTTAGGTACACCATAAGTGCGCTGTCTATGAGACCTCTAAAGATGTTTGTCATTAGCCTTGAGAATGTGATAAGAGAAGATCATAATCCAAATGGCATATGGTGGAAGTGATAATGGCCAGTTGTAGTGGAAAACGCTGTTAGCTCTTGGCTTTCCTCGTGGAGAGGAACTTGCCAGAACCCCTGTAACAAGTCTAGGGTTGAAAAAACTTTATTATCTCTGATACTGCATAAAAGATCATCAAGTACAGGGAGTGGAAAGTGATATGGAATTGTTTTCGCATTTAGCTTCCTAAAATCAGTCACTGGGCGCCAAGTACTGTATGGTAGTTGATCACCATGCACAGATACCATAGGTGAAATATGGTTGGTAATCACCATGCACAGATACCATAGGTGAAGTAGGGTTGTTAATCACCATGCACAGATACCATAGGTGAAGTATGGTTGTTATTCACCATGCACAGATACCATAGGTGAAGTATGGTTGTTATTCACCATGCACAGATACTGTAGGTGAAGTATGGTTGTTAATCACCATACACGGATACCATAGGTGAGTTAAGGATATGTGAGAGTGCAGTACAAAGTAATGATGGATGTTTGTGGAACATATTTTCGAAAGACTGCTCACTGTTTCAGAATTTTTTTTCAGAAATGTTCACGATATATGTGTCATCCTTAGTTTACTGTAAAGGTGTATTGCCAAGAATTTACTCTCATTCTACCTGTCAATTAACACATTGTTTATGTTCAAATAAAAATTTTGGTTTCTTCCTAAACATTACATTGAAAGTCTTGTTAGTATTGAGTTTGTGTTGTGATCCAAGTAAATAGTTTATCAAGTACTCATCTAAATTTGATTGCAGAGGTCGTGTCACAGCTCCTGGCCCATCCTCTTCACTGGTCTCTAATTGGTCACTTCCTGCACCATGAGCTTTTTCATATCTCTTCACAAAGCTATTTATGGATCCTGCCTCCACTACATCACTTCCCAGACTATTCCACTTGCAGACAACTCTGTGACTGAAGAAATACTTCCTAACATCCCTGTGATTCATCTGAGTCTTCAACTTCCAACTGTGACCCCTTGTTGCTGTGTCCCATCT